CTCTACCTTGACTAAGGCCCCAGTTCCAGCTGAAGAAAAACAGCCCCAAAGCATGATGCTGCCACCACCATGCTTTACGGTGGGTATGGTGTTCTTTTGGTGATGTGCAGTGTTGTTTTTGCATTATGGCCAAAAGGTTCAACCTTGGTTTCATCAGAGCGTAACACATTTTCCTTTATGCTTTTGGGAGACTTCAGATGTGTTTTTTGCAAAATTTAGCTGGGCTTGGATGTGAATACGTAAGATTGTTGTCACATGTACCACACAGCCAGTACTTGCTAGATATTCCTGCAGCTCCTTTACCCTCACCCACATCTTCAATCTCTCCCTCTCTACTGGTGCATTCTCCTCCCCCCTAAAGCAGGTGCACATCACCCCTATACTCAAAAAAACCCTCCCTGGACCCCACCGACCTGAACAACCTTAGACCCATCTCCCTGCTGCCATTAACATCCAAGCTCCTTGAGAGCTTTGTCTACAATCGCCTGAGCTCCCACCTCACTGACAACAACCTCCTCGATCCACTACAGTCTGGCTTCCGTCCCCTATACTCCACCGAAACCACCCTACTCAAAATCACTAATGACCTACTAACCGCCAAAGGTAAAAGCCACTACTCGGTCCTCCTACTCCTCGAACTTTCCACGGCCTTCGACACAGTTGACCACCCTCTCCTCCTTAATAAACTACACTCCCTTGGCATCAGAGGCTCCGCTCTCTCCTGGCTCTCCTCCTGTCTATCCCAACGCTCCTTCAGCAGCGTTACCTATAACGCTACCACCTCCCCTTCTCTCCCTCCCCCCTCTGTTGGGGTCCCCCAAGGCTCTGTCCTTGGGCCCCTTCTCTTCTCCATCTACACCTCCTCCCTCGGCAATTCAAACTGATCCACTCCCATGGCTTCAACTATCACCTCTACGCCGATGACACGCAAATTTACCTCTGCACCCCTCACCTCACCCCTTCAGTCTCCGCCTGTATTGCCCACATACTGAACGACGTATCAGACTGGATGTCGCTCCATTTCCTCAAATTGAACCTTTCCAAAAGTGAGCTCCTAATTTTCCCCCCAGCCCGCGCCCCCCCCCCATCCTCTCCATCACAACCAACAACGCCACCATCAGTCCCCCCCCGCAAGCCAAAGTCCTAGGTGTCACCCTAGACTCAAATCTGTCCTTCCAACCCCATGTCCAATCGTTGGCAAACTCATGCAGACTCCACTTCCGCAACATCTCCAAAATGTGTACGTTCCTAACCCCAGACACTACTAAACAACTCGTTCACTCCCTCATTATCTCACGCCTGGACTACTGCAACTCCCTTCTCACCGGCCTACCCCAACACAGGCTATCCCCGCTTCAGTCTATCCTAAACTCAGTGGCCAGACTCATCCACCTTACCAACCGCTCCGCTTCTGCCACCCCCCTCTGTCATTCCCTCCACTGGCTTCCGATTGCCCAACGCATTAAATTCAAAATACTAACACAGACATACAAAGCCATTCATAATGCTGCCCCAAACTACCTCACCGACCTGATACCCAAATACCACCCTACCCGTAATCTTCGCTCCTCACAAGACCTCCTAATTTCTAGCACCCTGGTCTCCTCCTCCCACGCCCAACTGCAGGACTTCTCCAGGACTTCCCCCATCCTCTGGAACTTTCTACCACAATCCATCAGACTGTCACCTACCCTCCTCACCTTTAGGCGCACCCTGAAAACCCATCTCTTCGGGGAAGCCCACCCCACCCTCACTTAACAGCTGATCTCCTCCACTCCTCCTACCACTCCATCCCCCACAGCCATTTCCTCCTGTACCACTATCCCCTCCCTCCTAGATTGTCAGCGTAAAAGAGCAGGGCCCTCGAACCCCTCTTGTATTGTATTGTTACTGTATTGTCTCATGTTTGTCCCCCACTATAATGTACAGCGCTGAGCAAACCTTTTGGTGCTATATAAATACTGTATAATAATAATACTGTTGCTGTAGGCCTCTTGGCAGCCTCCCAGACCAGGCTTCTTCTCGTTTTTTCATCAGTTTTGGAGGGATGTCCAGTTCTTGGTAATGTCACTGTTGTGCCATATTTTCTCCATTTGATGATGACTGTCTTCACTGTGTTCCATGGTATATCTAATGCCTTGGAAATTCTTTTGTACCCTTCTGCTGACTGATTTCTTTTAACAATGAGATCCCTCTGATGCTTTGGAACCTCTCTGCAGACCATGGCTTTTGCTGTAGGATGCGACTAAGAAAATGTCAGGAAAGACCTCCTAGAACAGCTGAACTTTATTTGGGGTTAATCAGAGGCACATTAAATGATGTCAGGTGTGTACTGATTCCTATATAACATGATTTTGAATGTGATTGCTTAATTCTGAAACACAGCTACATCCCCAGTTATAAGAGGGTGTGCACACTTATGCAACCACATTATTTTAGTTTGTTTTGAGTTGTACAGTTTACAGGTCATATTAAAGATGGAAAAAGTTCTGAAATGATTTATCTTTGTCTCATTTTTTTTACATCACAGAAACCTGACATTTTAACGGGTGTGTAGACTTTTTATATCCACTGTATTTTAAACATGTTTAACATCATTATTAAAAGCTAATAAACTAAAACAAACAATACCAGCAGGAAAATAATAGATGGAGAGAGGAGGAGACTAGGAAGTTACTTAGGGTTGATTAGTGTTAACTAATGATTAATAAGGGGTTAAACAGGATCATAAAAAAAACAAAACCTTTTTTTAAACTTGACAAGTAGCTTTAAGGCTGCTTTGACACTGAGGAGTTTTTCAATCATGTTTGCGTTAAAAAAAGCACCTGAAAAATTCAAGAAAACCGCTTCCCTGTGTTTGTGAATGTATATCTATGTATGTTTTCACACTGAGGTGTGGTGCTTGCAGTGCAGGGTAAAAACAGCATCTTTGGGGAGTTAAAAAAAAAAAAAAAAATGCCCCAAAAATGCCTCTTCCCATTGAAATCAATGAAAAACGCCTCTGAGAAGTGTTTTCGGTGCAGTTTTAAGTCATATGTCCTTTAAAAAAAATTGGTAAAAACCTATGTGTTTTTTGAGGTGTTTTTGCAGCGGATCAGTGTAAAAGTAGCCTAACTGACCTCTTTTGCAGCTCGAAGTTAATCCCTTTTCATATGCAGATTAATGAACCGAAAGATACAAATGTAACAATGTTACATTGTATCTTTGTGTAATTGTGTTGTTTTATAAACATTGTCAGGCTGCTTTTTTTACCGCTACAGCTGGTTCTCTGAGTATATTGTAATGCCAGCAATACAATACACTCAAGAGAAGTTGGTATACTGGGAAGGGGGTCCCAAAAGCAGAGCAGAGAGACTGGGTATGCTACACACATTCCCAAAGTCTGCAACTAGTTAAAAAAAACCACACAATTAAAAGTTTGGGCAGCACAGTGGCTAAATGGTTAGTACTTCCGCCTGGCAGTACTAGGGTCGTTGGTTCGAATCCCAGCCACGGCACCTCCTGCCTGGAGTTTGCATGTTCTCCCTGTGTCTGCGTGGGTTTCCTCCCACACTCCAAAGACATACTGCTAGGTTAATTGGTTCCTGTCTAAATTGGCCCTAGTATGTATATGTATGAATGTGAGTTAGGGACCTTAGATTGTACAGCGCTTGAGGGTTAGGGACTGATGTGAATGTACAATATAAATGTAAAGCGCTGCGTAAATTGATGGCGCTATATAAGTACCTGTAATGAATAATAAGTTTGCACTCACATTTTGTCTGTGCACTAAATCCTAAGTGCACACAGGTATCCACCTTTTTATTCCACCTAAAATCGGCTTGGAAATGGTAAAATCAGCCTATAAAAAGCCTTTTCCCTGTAAATTCTGGTAATTTCTACATGATGACATCAACCGTCTCCACCCTAAACATTGTCACGTCAGAACTGCACTTATTCATGTGCTAAAACTGCTTGAATGAAATAAAAAACTGAGTGATGTATTCATAAATACAAAGCTGCATTTGTTTGTATATATTATAGTCTGCCTGGAGTTCAGCTTGAAACACTTTTGTGACCCCCATATGTTTACTTATGTTTCCTGTTTTACTGCTGTAGCAGGAAGCAAATACACTCATGTTCCCAATAGCTTGTTTCTTTCTTCAGCTGGCTCTCATCCCCTCAACTTTTTAAATTTAGAATATTATATTGTTTGAGTTCATTTTAATGCTTTTCAATACATGGGCCAACAGAAAGGTAGTTGTGTATAAACGCTTCTTTTACTGAGTAACTTTTGCCTAAAGGTAGCCCTAAGGCACGGGTGTCAAACTGGTGGACCTCCAGCTGCTGCAAAACTACAAGTCCCATCATGCCTCTTCCTTTGGGAGTCATGCTTGTAACTGTCAGTCTTGCAATGTCTCATGGGACTTGTAGTTTGGCAACAGCTGGAGGGCCTCCAGTTTGACACCCATGCCTTAAGGGAACAGGGTCACCTTAAGGCAACAGTGCTAACCTTTCAAGAGTGTTAGTTACAGATGTGTTGCTACTTCAGATTTAAAAAAAAGTCACAAAGCAGAAGAAACATTTTTATTTATTTTTTTTCCCACTGCTTTTAACAAAACCGCTCCTTGCTTGTATCCACTTAATTTTTCTCTATTGTCTTCAAAAGATACACACAGAACCAATTCCACAGGGATTTGGGTGTCTCTCCTCCTTCTTTGACAGCCCCGTTGTGGCAAAGCATGTTATACACCTGCAGTATTCTTTGTCTTTACTGAAAAGAAGCAACATGTATTATTCTGCCTGGCGAGGGAATCCTGCTAGATACCGAGGTTACCAGTTTTGGATGTTCTACTGCAACACAGAACACGTTTTGTAGTATCTGTAGAAAAATTGCACAGTTTTGTAAAGACTTTCTATTCTAAATCAGGGCTGGGTAAATCTCAGGACGCAGACAAAAAGAAAAAAAAAAAAAATCTTTCCCTGACCGAAATGTCTTTTTATTTCTCCCTGTTTTCTAGGTAATATGAGTGGCTGCAGAGTATTTATAGGGAGGCTCAGTCCTCATGCCCGTGAGAGAGACGTGGAGAAGTTTTTCAAAGGGTATGGACGTATCCGGGAGATCAACCTAAAGAGTGGATTTGGATTTGTGGTACGTTTTAACTGACATGCAAAAATGTCTATATAGTTTTGGATTTATAGAAAATGTTTCTGCTTTAGTCTCTAAATAAGAAAGGTAAAATAATTGCCCTGATGACAGCCCACACCCTCAGGGGACCCTAGAAAAAACATCTGTAATTTGAAGATTAGCAAGTGAAAATGGTGCCTCTACTATCAGTTTACATTTCTCCCCCATACATGTTACAAGGAAACGAATGATGTATTCCCAATGTATGTTATATGGTGGAGAACAGTACAACAAACTGGCATAAGCAAAATTGGAAGCAGATGTCATGTTCCTAAAATTGACACACTGCCTTCTATTTTTACACGATGCTTTACTGCTGTTTTACATGTTCTTTTCCCATGATGCTCTTTATAGAGATATGTTGCTTTGCAACAGCCGTTGCCAGGTTTCTCACACCTGAGGTCTTATGGACCACTTCTGCTCAGTAGGCAGAAAACTGTTTAATATGAAAAAAAAAAATGAATTTGAGATGCTGTATCTGCTGTTTGATTTATTGTAGGAGTTTGAAGATCATAGAGATGCAGATGATGCTGTGTATGAGCTGAACGGAAAAGAACTGTGCAATGAAAGGTAAAAAAGGTCATTGTAATTGTTTCTGCTGTTAAATCAAGGGGCATCAAAGTTTGAATTGGCATCGAACACACAAGCAAACCCGTCTCAGTTGTTCTATTAATGTCTGTATAAATTGAGCTTTAATGTTAATAAGCAGCAGTTTTTTTCCATCATTCAAGAGTCACAATTGAACACGCCAGAAATCGTAGAGGAAGAGGAGGCGCTGATGGGAGGTGGAATTATATATTCGATACCCAATGCGCTTTGGCTACCGGTCATGTGGACTGTTAAAGGTCATGCAGGGTTCATTCAAACTTTACTGAATTGGCTAATATCTCTTTCTATAGCTGTTTGCAAGCATAACCCACATGATGACTTCTTATACCTCTCAAAAAGTCTAGTGAAAGTTACCAGCTGTCTAACTTAGCTATCATTTTATAAAGCCAATTAATTGTGCCAGGGTTGGAATCTGTCCTATTGTGGAATAAGAGTTACTCTTCCGTGCAGTTTTTTCCATAAAAATGAGCGGACACAGACCGTTCATCATTTGCGGAAGATCATCCTAGAAATGAAGTTTTAGCCCCATGTGAAATTGGCCTTTTATGTTTTATGGAGGTAAGGTGGTATGAAATGCAATTATGTGTATTATTCTTTAGGTATGGCCCCCCCCTAGTTCGTACAGAGCACAGGATAATTGTAGAGAATCTTTCTTCCCGTGTCAGCTGGCAGGTGAGCATAATTCTAACCTTTAAAACTGAACTGTCCATGAAGAAAATGTTATATACTTTTAAAGGTTAACGCAATAGGCACATATTCACATTGCACTGAGAAACACCTTTTTAATACTTAAGAAAATTGCATTTCTGATCAGTTACAGGCGTCTGTTTCTTAGCATATTACATTTCTATGCACAGCTGAGCAATTGCAACTTTCAGGTTTGTTTATAAGCCCTTAAATACCTCTGTCTTACTAGCTTATATTAACTTTGAGTTACTTGCATTGTCCCATACAGTTCTTTTCCAACTAAAAATACTTCTCTGGTTCCACAGCTAACCATAATGTACCGTTTCTGTGGACTCTATAATGCTTTCCTGTATAACCCATCAAGTGCTGTAATATGTACCAATGATTTTAGATCCATGGGAGATTCATAAGGGAGTTTTCGATGCAACACTTTGTACCTATTGTCCCGCTCATTGGAGTTAAGCCTAGCTGCAACAAAAGTAAAACATGACTTGTGATTAAACATCTGGTTTTCTATTCTTTGTGAATGTGTGCTGCCTGCATTTACCTTCATGTAATTACAGTTCTTTTTCCTGTTGTACAATTTATGACAATTTATGTTGTATTTTCTTAGATCAGTGCAGACATTTTGGTACCACTGTTTAGCAAAGCAGTTAATGTTGGCTGATACAATTACAGAATCTTCTGAGAAACACGGAATTCACGAACTCTTGGAAGCAATCTGTAATATTAGACAGTAAAGCATATTACAGTTTTGTATATAATTAGGGTTGATTTACTAAAACTGGAGAGTGCAAATTCTAGTGCAGCTGTGCGTGGTAGCCAGTCACCTTATAACTTCCGTTTGTTCAATTAAACTTTGACAATAAAACTTGGAAGTTGATTGGTTTCTATGCAGAGCTGCAACAGATTTTGCACCCTCCAGTGCACATACAGGCAGATTGTGTGACAAGAAAGTCTAAAAAGGACATCTTTCAGCAGATGTGAGGCTCTGGAGGCTTCTAAAAGCAGTCCTTGCAGCAAAATGCAAGATTCACTTATTTGAGTAAATCTACCTGTAAAATCAACCCCTAACTACAAAAAAGTTAAAACATTTACCTTACCCCATTTGACTTTTCTTCCAGATGCGAGAGTTAAATCTCAAAAAAGCCCAGGCCAGTGCAAGAACGTTTTTTGCAAATTTGTTACTCAGGATTTGAAAGGAACTGTGTGTCTCATCTAAAAGCCATGAGCAGTTAAGTTGTAAATTTCCTTACAGGTATCATATTCAAGCCCCCTCTTTTAAAGACATTTTAGACCCTGTTCTGTAACAATAAAAAAATGCCCCTGTTCTGTAACAATAAAAAAAAGACAAACCTGCTTAACAAAATGGCACCTAATTACTTGTTTAAAATTGGAGAAAAAAAAAAAACATGACTTAAATGGCTCCCTGTTTTAAGATTTTTTGTTTTTTAAAAAAAAACGAGGTGATTGAAATGGACCTTGCTTTAAAATGCAAGGTCTACTTATTAGAGCTAGGTACCCTCTCCCTGTATATATTGTATGTTAGAAGGGCAAAAATGTACCTGTAAGGAAAGGGTTAGAATACATACTTTTTCTTAAAGCTCATGGCTTTTAATGAGGGGGTGACATTGTGATCCTTCCATCGAGATCCTGAGGTCATTTCTTTGAGTGGCTTCCAAATCTTGCAAAAAGACTTTTGCACTGGCCTGGACTGTCTTTTTGTGAGATTTAGGGTGCTCTTCGTTCCACAGGAATCTTACTGGAAGAATGGTGATGTCATGGCCTGCAATGGGGTAAGGTAAATGTTTTAACTTTTTTGTAGTTACAGGTACATTTTTGCCCTTCTAATAGTGATTTATACAGGTATTACTCAAATAAGTGAATCTTGCATTTTGCTGCAAGGACTGCTTTTAGAAGCCTCCAGAGCCTCACATCTGCTGAAAGATGTCCTTTTTAGACTTTCTTGTCACACAATCTGCCTGTATGTGCACTGCCCTGACTAGCAATATCGAGAAATATTTGCTTGCATATTGGACGGCCATGAAGGATAAAATCTGCAATGGTACATTTATGCCACTGTCAATTTCTGTTGATCTCCAAACTCCACCAGAGGTCAGCATGATTCTGTACCAGTTAGACCTGTCAGACTTGGCCATCACAGCGAATTGCCACATCTGTTACAGATTGGGTTGCTTAATAGGCAGAGGTCTCTGGTAGTTTGGGTAACCTTAGGGTTAGATGCAGTGACTACATTGAGGAAACTACCAACTAACTGTCTCAGTTGTGGGAGTAGTAAAGTGGGGAGTTGTGGCTATTCCCAATGGAGTAGGTAAGTAACTTAAAGGGCACCTGTGCACATAAAGTACAGTAGCTGCAATCGCTGATCTGCTAATTCAAGCTCTGGGGCTGTTATTCCAGATCAGCAGCTAGGTAATAAAATCTAGGATCAGTAATAAGTATAAGCAATTCAGACTTCAATAATGCATCCTTGTTCCAGGTCAGGATAAAGATGACAGTCCTGGAACTTGCAGTTTTAAAAGGCAAGTCAGCATTGAAAGTCAATATGGTAAATATTTAACCCCCAGTAATTGAATTTGCGAAACAGTTGAAATTAAGAAAAATGTTTCGTCCTTTTTTTTTTTTTTTTCTTTGACTATAGGTCTATTTTAAAAAAATGCCTTCATTATCACTGTCTGCCAAAAGCTAAATTGTTCTGGATGGATTTGAGTTCAGGTCTCCCAGTTCTGTATTTTACCCTTTTGGCAGTCAGTTTTGATATATATTTTACAAATGTTGAAGTGC